AGCTTACATAGTCAAAATGGATCTCTAGTAGTACTTGTCTTTTTCCGAACAGTGTGGGGTGCCTTTTGGAAGGGTTCAAAACCAAGTTTTTGTAGTGGTAGTTGTTTTCTAGTACTGTATGCAAATGCAACCTGAGATGCTTATTTTCAGCTGTTAATATTTCTCTTCCATAGGTGCATAAAAAGGATAAAAAGTATAAATGTATGGTGTGTAAGAAGATTTTCATGCTAGCAGCCAGCGTTGGAATAAGGCACGGATCACGGCGTTACGGAGTTTGTGTAGACTGTGCAGATAAATCTCAGCCTGGAGGGCAAGAGGGAGCAGACCAGGTGCAGGACACAGATTTCCCTAGGGATGAAGAATATGAGGAAAACGAAGTGGGAGAAGGTGACGAGGAGCTTGGTGATGATGTAGAAGAACAGAATGACCAGTCTCGATGGGATGAATCTGGGGAAGTTTGTATGCCTTTAGATGACTGACAGACCGTGTGGCTTCAGGGTGCTGCAGAAGGACACTATGTGGATTGACTCTTTGGATTTCTGGACTGAAGGCTTGCAGAATATGGTACAGGCTGGACGGTAGTTACGTTGCTGTGAAAAATGTAGGGTCAAAGCCTTATAGCAAAAAAGGATTATTAATTTTTTTATTATATTTGCACAGGACTGTACAGCATACAACCATTTGGTTGAATTATACAGAGTCCTCACATCTACAGTCAGTTATCAAAAGAAAAATGTATTTTTTATTATTTATAGGCTATAGCTACTTGGGTCCTATTCAGACATAGTAGTAACTGTACTTATGTTACACATTCATGTATCTTTTAACATGAATGAAGAAAATTGCAACTTGGTATGGAACTACAAAGACAGCTTTCCCAAATCCTCTTGTACTTTGTCAGTGAACCAGTGAAGCTGATTTCAGCTAGTTGCTCTTGTTTCCACGAGCATGTCTTTGCCATACAAACCTTACCTCTCCCATACTCTGGTAGATGAAAGTCAGTCATTTAAATATGCATCACAGATAATCCCAACACGGTCTTGAAATTTGGTTTTAAAACTTTTGGCTCTATGCTGGCAGGTGATATAGGTGATGAGCACTGGAGAAAGTTAATAATGGCATTAATTTAGTGTCTCTTCCTTCACCGTTTCGAATTTTCAAGAAGGTTGTTACTGATTCATCAGTTCCAAAATGATCTTGCAGAAGAAATGACCAATAATGAAAATAATAGACTGATCAGAGCACGGTTAACTCTTCTGCCGCTTAGGCAAAAGAGATAGTCATGCTGAAAGGTATCTGATGTGATAATGTTTCCTCACTCCTCTAAGGCCCCCTTCCTTTCAAACTTTTTGACTTCCCTGGTGTATACCTCAGTCCCACAGAATAAAACCACAAGAAATGGAGAAAGTGTCATATTAAACAACTTTTTGGTTGATAATTTCTTACTCGTCCGGTTTTTGGCTAGTTTGTGTGATATGAGTTGGACACTAGGCTATTGTGCCCATTGTTCGTCATTAAAATGAATACAAACTATTTTTTATTCTTTTGTACTTAATGGGTTGTTGCTAGTGTTTAATATAAACCAATTACATTTAACTTGTTGACTTAATTTGCTGGATTCTTTTTTTTAAAGAGAAACAAGAAGTCCAAAGCGAAGCAATGCTCTTTGAGTTGTTTACTTTTCAGGATGATGTGCTCCCTACCCTCTTTATTTCAAATTTTGTAGAAGGCATTGAAACTTGAATTTTTGTAGCCATGTGGGGTTTTTTTTCCTAAGCTTGTAATATTATACCAATGATTTCAGGCCTCTTTCATAGGGAAGGGAGGGCATTACACCTTCATCTTAAACTTCTCTGTGTTGTCAAGCCGAAGGCCAATGAATTCAGGCCATCATTGGAACAATAAATCTGGTGTACAATTACATCACAACAAGTAAATATGCAGAGCATTTATCATGACACGTAGCTAGGCCAGTGTGACAGTACTGTATAAAAGCCAATTGAGGGTCACCATATTTTTTCAGCTTTGTTTGATTTTAAAATGAGTATATTTTTTCCTATTTTATATCAGGTAACTAAATTATGCTAGTTGTGTGGATAACTTTGAACTATGCTTTGACGGACAGAATCTTAATGGTGCACCATCAGATCAAAGTTGGTATGTATTTAAAGAGACAAGCTTTACTGTTGTCCTTTACATCAGTAGAACAGTAATATAATGTTAAGACGTTGTTTTTGCTGATTGAAGCTGAGATAAGTTTGAACTACAGTTATATGGGAATTAAAATGCTTTTTTTTAATCACCCATTTGTTTCATTAGTAGTTTCCACATCATTGTAAACCTGACAGATGATAAGTTTTTTGGGGAGGGTGGGGAGGGTGGGGTGCCTTTTTTTACACTGAAGAATACATCTTATTGTCATTGTTCTAGGCTGAAATGAGTAATGTGTAATTCTGGTGGGGTCCAAAGTAGAAATTAGTTGGGCAAAGATGATATGAATGAAAAAGTATTTTAAACGTTAAAGTAATGTTCTGCTTTGTGAATATGTAAGTATAGCATAAAGATTTTTCCATCCCATTTATCCCCTTTAAAAACCATAGTTTACAATTGGTAGATCTGTCTATATATATAAATATAAATATATATATATCTGAAATTCACCTGAATCTGCTTTACTAGAATACTGCTCACTTAATGCTTAGAAACTGGACCTGGCTCTACATTCTTAATGTATTTTCCTTTTTTTTTTGTTTTGTTTTTGTTTGTTTGTTTTTTTTTTCCCCTCAAGGTATGAACTTATTCTCTTGGAACTGAATCTTCTTTTACTACTTTAATCATTTATGTATATCTGGTAAATTATGACCAAATTTGTTGTTAGACTGCATACAGTAAATTGAAATATACACTTGGTACACTACAGAATTGTTGTGCTTTTGTTCTGGTTATATTTGGAAAAGCAGGCTTTAATAGAAATTAGTGTTATTTATAAATATTCTGTTATTATTCACTGGCCTTAATGTTCTGTTGCATTGTGACAATCACGGTTTCCTTGGTGATCCTGAACTGCTTGCTTTTAGAAGTTGCATGTAATTGCCTGTGGTAGGATTGGAGGGAGAGGGATGGCTATGGAAATGCGATACGAGCTCCTCGGCAAATGGCCTGAAATAGGTTAACGGAGATCCGCTGTCTTGCATTGGAGACCTGAATGAATTAGTGTGGATGCTATCTGCAGTCTGGATTTTCTGAGCTGGTTATTCAGAAGTTATTTAAATAAATTACTTTGATTGGGGAGCTCTAAATTAATAAAGTAAACTTCTTAAGAATTACCTTAAAAGTGACAGCTCAAGTTTCTTTACTATTATAAAAAGTAGGGAGAGATTTCTGTTTGCACTAAAAGTGTCTTCCCCTTAAGAAATGCTGGAGCTATTTTAGTTTGTTTGGTTTGGGGGGATTTTTTTTTCCTTTTTAAAAGCAGAAAAACTAATGCCCTTAAACCGCCTTCCTTATGAAATTAAGAGATACCCGTTTTTTCACTTTGTCCTCTGAAGTAGTCCTCATCAAACCAAATGACTGAGATTTGTGGATTTGGGGCGATGCCACACACGAGTAGTTCTGTGAAAAGAACCGTGTGTGTATAAACCCAGGCAAACACAGAGTTCCAATGTTGGGATTCCCCCCTTTCTGTGGGTTTCTGTTTGGTTTCTGCTCTCTTCAAGCAGTGGCGGTTACCTTTTAGAAATAAAAGCACAGAGCACTTCCTGGCAGGGACTGGGAGGCAGGACAAAATCAAATCAGTAAGTAAATTCCCCTCTGACTAGAAGTCTGTGTCAAAGTAGGCGTGATGTAAGGAAGACAGACAACGTAAAACGCATTTGGCTTGAGCCAATGTTACTGCAATGCAATAGCAAGCGTTTTTCAAGTGTAATGTCAGGTGCATCTTGTGGGGAAAATGGCATTTTTTCAGTTGCGTAGAACATTTTTTCATAGTTCAGCTTGCAAACCGACCTTCTAGTAAAATCGTTTTCTGAAGCAAAAGCAGTTTTGAAAGCCAGAAATGATACTTGGCTGTCACCACAGTGATGCACCCTGAGAAGGAAGCGTTTAAATTACTGGTCCCCATAGCCTACATGATTACTTTGGGACTCACGTGCTTCTGCAGCGCAGAGTGTTCAGGTATTTCTACGTGCCCCTCTTCCTTCTGAAATGAGCAGGCGTTAGCAGGTGAAGAAAAGTTTGGGGCCAGGACACAGGTGCGTGGTAGGCATCTCGCTGTGGGTCCCAGCAGTAATGCCATTAGCAGGAGATGCTTTCCTTGCCTAGCTTTAAGTTGGTAAGGCTTTTAATAGGATTTTCTTTAATGAGGCCAGTCTCTGTGGTTTGTTTGCTTTTGTTTCACTCTACTTTTCCTGTTCTTGCCACTCAGTAACACAAGTCTCCCACCTACTGCAAAATACTTCTGTAGTCTGCTGACCCCACACAGGCAGAATTCACTTCACCAGAGCTACTGTACCTTCTTGGCCTTTCCTTTGGACTTTGTATTTAAATGATTTTGGAAACTAACAGGAGAAATGAAAGCAAGATAACTGACACCACCACCAGCCCTCAAAACTTGTGCCAAAAGAAGGTGAAAAAGGAGGAGAACGTTGAACGCAGTGTGTTCAGAAAAAGGCTTTTGGATTTGAGGTGTTACAGTCCCTCTGGTTTACTGCTTGAATGTTTCAGACAATTCACTGTATTTCTGTCTAGCACAACTTGGTGACAACCTTCTGATGAAGAAGCTATGCAAGAAGCCAAGTTTTGAGTTTAGTTGGTGTCTCCAGAATGTCATTCAGGCTCTGCAGAGGCAGTACCACTGCATGGCTTTCTGTAGATATCTTACCATATACCCTTATGTCAGCAGCCCTCCTCGCTGTGTAATCTGTTGCCCATTTTTTATTTGGGAAATATTAAACTGAGATTTGCCATTTATATGTTTTAATAGCACTGTGTTTCACTAAACATAAGTATAGTAAAGGTTAAATATTGATGTGATGGATAAAAAGAAATAAGTTGGGTTTCATATAGTGTCTTTTAACGAACCTATAATACAGTGAATCTTTTGTAATAAAGAAAATACAGGTTTGAAATCCAGGGGCAGAGGCATTGTTGAGCTGAACCCTTTGAGATGTTGAAGATCCCACATATTCACTATGGTTTTTTTAATACTTTATGTGACAAAAGGTAAAAATATACAAGAAGGGTGCTATAACTTTAACTGGAAAATAAAATTGGCTTAACGAGTACTTTGTATTTAACACTATTGCAATTTGAAGCAAATGTTTAAAATAATGTTTTGCCTACCTGAAATGATCTGGATTAGTCACTTCAGAATACAGACAGAAGGAATTTCTCACTAACATATTGGTATGTAAACATAATTTCAAGACTTCTAATACTATGTGCACCAGTCTTTTTCAGTTACCACGCTGCAAATAAATTTTAAAAAGAACTATTTCATTCTATCTACTTTTATCTGTGCCCTGCCTCCTCACCCTCCACAAGTAGATAGAGACATTTCTTTGGATGGCTAAGTGTTAACATACAATCATTTGCTGTAAATGAGTTGATTTCTGCTTTTGACATTGAATAGAATTTATAGAAAATAGAATTTATTTTAAGGAATACTTCAGACACAGTCCAGTGCATACCAGAAGGATCAAATCCCCTCAGAAATGCCACCGTACTATGCACACCCAAGACCTTTGCCTTGGTGTTTTCATTCCTCTCTCCAGCCCTACCAACCTGAGATGTTTGGAAAAAAGCACTTTGCTTGGGTTTCTCAGAAGCTTCTTGCCTGGATAATGCTGGATGTATGTTTGAACTGATCCTTTGGCTTATCTGACCTCCCCAAGTGAGTGCTATTTTTGGTAGGTTTTATGCATAAGTGGGTTCCTTCAGTTAAAAACTGATCAGCTCTTTGTCAGTTCTTTCAAGGATTTGAGAACTTCAGAATTTTCTGTTCGCCCTGTAGAGAAAATTCTATGTTCGTGTCCTGGGTAGGTAAGTCTGCTGCTAGGGCTTGGCTTGCATATGAGGGTTTTCTGAAGACAGACCTCTGTCTGATTGGCTCTTCCTGCTAGCTGGCTCTGCACAACTTTCCACCTCATCTGTAGGTAAAGCACATAAGAATGTTGTCTTGTGGGGGACAACAGCCCTGGCTTTGGGAGAGCCTGGAAAGTACCCTGCAGGCCATTGAACAAACTTCTGCATTACGTTTAAAATTACCTGAACGGTGGTTCTCAGAGAACTGTTTCAAGAGGTGAATATATTTTCAGCTTGTTAATTAAGTGCTATGTAGTAATGCAATGTTTTCTTGTTCAGTTTGTGTAAACCATTATGTTTTGTCTAAGTACGTTAGGAAAAGAGCTTCATATTCCACAGAATA